GAGGTCCCATTAAAAGATAAAGTCACCAACTACTATTTAATTAGCAATTGCGCATTTGCAATCATAATCATCTTCTCTCTGAGATCCAATAATTATTGACTCTTTATTTATTATTAAATATATGAATGTGCTTGGCAGACCAGAATCACCTATATTTTATTATATCCAGACAATATATTATGCATTTGGCAGAATCAGCTGTATTTTATTATTTGTGTTCCATTGTTATTTGATTCGAGCGGTTGAGTCTATTCATATCAAAGCAATCAGATTCTGCATACCGTAGAGATAATATTATTTTTTTCGTTTTAATAACCAAATGGACCAAATGTCAATAAATGTGGGACCAGAAATTTATAAACAAAACCCAATAAAATGTTTGGTCGAAATTAGAAGCTTTCGAATATGGAAGCCATTTTTACGTGTTACCATTACAAAATTTGAACTAAGAAGAAAACATGAGTGAGTGTTTTTTTTTAAAATCAACTACTAAATCTATTTTTAGTGTTTTATATAAACTGACACAAACAAACATTGGAATATTATGTTTTTTATGACTGACGCTTTTTAACAATGGGAGTAGGAATGTATACATATATATATTTTTTTTTTTAACATCATGCAATTTACTTGATGACCAAAATTGCAAAATAAGCCACATAGTTAAGCGGCCAACAAAAAATGTATTTTTCACTTATATCATATACGACCAAATCCAAATATAGACAAAGCCGAATATGTTTTCTAATTTAATCATTAGTTTACTCTTTAAAATCTTGCTTTAAATCAAGCAGAAAGGTCCATATCGTCTAAATCAGTATCAAATCAAGGGAAATCTTGCATATATATATATTTAATTATTTCAGGTAAGCAAATAGTAAAGTAATAAACACAATGCTCATGGCCAACGTCACGAATACGACATTTAATGTTAAAAATATTTTGGCACGACCAAAGACTCGAAACCACAAGAAATCCTTGTAAAGACCCAGATTACTAAATAGATCTGGGTAAATTTTTAAACTAGATTTTGTAATATCACGAGCAAAGACTTGAAACCACAAGAAATCCCCGAAATGACAGATGATTTACAGAATCTAGTATAAAATTTGCAAAAACAAAAAACCTATTAATATCATGCGATTTATATAATTTAGCTAGCACTGGATGATGGAGACTTTTAGAAAAGTTTTACTAAAGTAAATAATAATACTATAAATATTTGAATGCTTCCTTTCACTTTTTCGGGTTTGAAAAGTTTTACTATCCACTCTTGACAAATTTCAATCATTACTTGTTGATAGTAATTAACTAATTAACCTACTAATT